TTTCTTTTATTAGCTGAAATACAAAGAAGTCATGGGGACCCCAGGAAAATAACACTATGTGTCAGAAAATTCAATGTCTCCATCATCAGGATTTCCATCACACATTTAATTTCTCCTGTACAATTTTTAAAAACTTGTTTTTCTTTTCAAAATCATTGGATTTCCAGATTAAATTCAGCACTACACAGTATGCCCTTGAAGTAAAATGAGGTTACCTGCTTTATTTGGATACCAAGTTCCCTTCCAAACAGCATTAAAATAAAGACAAGTAAGACTACACAGATAAAATCCAGTATAATTCAAATCCAACAATGAAAAATTTCCCCCATATTTTTGCAAAATTCTTTCTACTGAAATGCTTTGCTACAATAATAAAAAGCATACATTACATATAAAAGATACCAGTGTACTAAAAAGTGACAGAAGTGGACTAGCAAATCCTTCAAAGCACATTATATAAATGACTAGCATTTAAAAACATTTCTCCTATAAAATGTAAGTCATATACATTTATAAATTGGTGGTTTTATCTCTAGAGCAGTGATGTGTGTATTCAAATAGCTGTTCTGTACAGTATATTACTCACTTCAAACCTCAATTTTGTTTTTCTTTGTACTGAAGTTGAATAAACTCATCTGATCAGCTGAGAAATCAGGCGTGAAAAATAAGTATCTAAAAACCAAAGTAGAAAGTCTAGAATTATTGAAATATGAAGCTATGAAATATGAAGAGAACTATCTATTTCACAATGGAGCTTAATTCACCTCAAAACTTACGGGCTTGAATCTAAAACAGAAACAAATATTAAAATCCAAAGCAAACCACAAAGTTAGGTAGCAGTACAGAAGCAGGAAAAAAACCCACATCCCTTCCTTCAGTGTGATGGGCACTAAGTGTGCGGTCTTCCTCCATCTTGCAGAAGAGTGGTAAGGCCATTCAATGCTTAGTGAGAGTGAGCGCAGATAAGCCAGATCTAGCCTGTCCCCCTGCAGCGCCAATTACGCTGTGTAAACAGTGTCACGTTCCAAAAGGAGGAACAATGGAATCTGCTTATAAAAACTGATTAAAGATGATAATTATTAGATGAAATGAGGATAATTAACAACTCTGAAATGTTTTTAGAACGTTCCTGATGCTACTTGTAAAGTTAGCACTGCTGTGTATTATTATTGCTTACAGTACAACATCATATGCCTTCTAACATAAAGCAGGACTGGGGTTTGTACATATTTACAGGTTCTTAAAAACAAGCTGTAAAAACATCATACATACTTTCAGACAATACAAATTAGCACATTGGTACTCACTTTAAAACAAATGGAATGCATAACAATAATAAACATCATAAAGGAAGACTCGCATGAAAGTCCTTGATTGTCAAGACACGTTTATATATAAACTCTAACTGTGCAGAATTAAAGATTCAATCATAGGTACATCCTTACTTGATGAACCCTATTTACAGCATGGTATTGCATAAAAAAATAAAATAATGTTTACAGGGTTTTACTTTTTTATCCATTGGATTAAAGAAAGCAACAAACATAACAGGAAATGTTTGTCTGCTTTAGTTTGTTTCCTACCAAAGTTTAAGTGAAAAAGGAAACACGGTTTTTACTTGCAGAATATAGCAAAAACAACTGGAAAATTATTTCCCTGAAATAAAGCAATTTGAAACGGAAAATCTTTAAATTAAATTGCCCACTCAAAAAGTTTCTTTGATTATAATAGTGCTTCTTCAAGTAAACAGACTGTGAAAAGATGAGTGCTAGTTTAAAATGTTCTAAGAAATGTAGTACTACAGCACTGCCTACTTTTAAAGTTCCCCGGCTTTTTTTTTTTTTTTTTTTTTTTTAAAAA